GAAGAGTAGGGGTGGGGGGGGAGTGGTAGTCGGAGAAGAGTGGGGGGACAGTCGGGGAAAGAAAAATGGAAACGAAAATGATGCTTAATCGTTTTCAATTTTGCTGATTTTTAGGAATAAGTAAAAAAACGTTTTCAATTTTTATCTTTTAGAAAATGGGGTGCCAAACACATTTGTGAGAGCATTTTTATTTTTTTGTTCTTGAAAAACGTGAAAATGTTTTTGGAAATGATTCCAAACAGCCACGTTATGTACCCTCTCTTCTTCTTCTTTTTTATTTTTATTTTTGGGAGTGAGTATTGCTTAAACTTTAGAGGTAAACTAGTTTTGTGTTGCTGCGTTGTTGCGGGAAAAATTTTCATTGTATTGGAAAGTCAAAATATTTTTTGGTGCAATATTAATTTATATATATATAGGAATGGTTTTTAGTCTGGCACCTATAAAAATGCCTGACTGATCCGTTTAGTAATTGTGACCATTGGATTGAAATTTAGACGGTGTAGATGAATGTTTGTTTCTCACATCTCCCTTTCTCAAACACACAAACACTCTCAAATCCACTTCTCCTCGACCTCCCTCGACCTTTCTCGAGCTCCATCGACCTCTTCTACAGCCACCTCGCCACCGGCGACTTCCGACAGGCGGACGAGGCCGCGTCTCGACAACTCACACAACCAAACCCACTTCTCTCTCCTCCATCCTCACATTTCATCTCTCCTCAAACACCACCACTTCATCCTCTTTCTCCGCCGCTGCTTCCTCGGCCGCCTCCGCAGGTAGGTATCTTGTTGTAATTTATAATAATAATTCTTATTCTTATTGTTGAGAAAGAAGTAAGATTCTTTTTGCACGGATTTTTTTTTCTTTTGGGGATTTTGATTTGATTTTTAAGGGGCTAGGGTTTGCTTATTTTTCTTGATTTTCTCATCTAGGGTTCGTGATTTTGAGGGCATTTGTGCGAAAGATTTCTGAGTTCTGTCTTGTGAAGTCGTTGCGAGCACTGTTTTGATCTGATTTCTTCTTCTGGGCAGTGAAAATTTGTGATTTTGCAAGTATTCTTTGTTGGGGAAATTGATGCTATAATCTAGTTGGGTGTCAGGGTTTTTTCAATTATAGTTCTTCTCTACGGACGTTGAGGGCTTCCCACAACTAAAGGAAGTTTTTTGCTATCTGGGCATTAGGAAAAAGGAAAAAACAAAAATTAATGTTTCATTCTCAGGGTTCTTCAAAATAAACTTGTAGTCTTCTTGCAGTCACTTGTGGGAAAGTCTTTGAATCCAAATGCAAAAAGGATGTGCCGGAGAATCGGACGCTGTATCCTTTCCCGGCGTTGATAGGGAGGGGATACGACATCTCAACAGATCTACGGCTCAAGTACTGCAAAGGAGGAGACTCCTCTGATTCGCGTTTGATCGAGATTGATGAAGACGATGGCCGTGAAATCGTTTTGCCCAGTGGAATTACAATCTCGAATGTTTCTAAATCCATCCAATGCGATAAAGGCGAGCGAACGCGGTTTAGGTCCGATGTTCTCTCTTTCCAACAGGTATTTCTTCTTCAAGTTTTGTTGTCGTTTATTCTTAATGATGATTTCTTAATCTCTCACCATAACTCATAAGAGATCACTTTCTCCTGCAAATTAGCATGCTTTCTCATGCATATGAACTATGAAGTTGGGAATATGTTACTTGTCGTTTTATTTTCTCCTTTGCCACTCATATGCATTCTTATGCATGAGAAGTCTGAAGGATCTAGTTGTGATTTTTTTTTAATGAAAAACCATTTGAACAACAACAAACTTGTAGGCGGAATTTCAAAAATTTTAACATATCCATTTAATTTCAAATGAAATGCAAACCACAACGAGAGATACATGCATGATATATGTTTATAGACAAAGGAATAAAATGACAATCATACCTTTGTGATGATTGAATCAAATATGACCGCAAGGATCTTGTCTCACTATCTCACGTTCCGAGATGGAGAATTGCCGTGAAACAAGATCGTTGATATACCGATACGATCACACCAAAAACCACTCGTTGATTCAAGACTATGACTCTAAGTGTTTTGGGATGAGAGAGTGGGCTCTTTTCAAAAAAAACTAAGGAAACAATTTTTCCTTCTATTTTGTCTCAAAATTTCGGCCACCCTTAGGAGAGAAAAGTGTGAGATTTTTTCTTCTCTTAAAAAACTCATAGCTAGGGTTTTCAATAAAATCCTTTTATAGGAGGAAATTCAAAAACTCAAACCCTAGATGGGATTTTCGAATATCCCCTTCTCTCTAGGATCAAAATCCGAAATTCCCCATATGGATAAGGATTTCTGAATTTTCCTTCTCTCTTTTGGAGCAAAATTTGAATTCCCCATATGGCAAGGGATTTCTGAATTTTCCAAAATAAAATCAACTTTCTCTCTCCTTTAGTTGCCAAATAAAATCATGTTTAAATTTTATTTTGAATTTTAAATTAATCACTATTAATTTCAAAATTCAAATTCATTCCTTTTATTTTTCAATTATCAAATAAATGAAAAATAACACAATGAATTTTTTAAACATAATTATATAACAAAATATCAATTTCTATTTTCCTACTTATTAGAGCTAGCCTTGAGACCGAATAGACCCACATGAAGAAAGCTATGGAATTACAATACTCGACTAACTTATCCCGATAAGTTATCG